CTCGGCGAAAAGGTGGAAGTTGTGGAAGCAAACTTGGCTCAACTTTGCTATTGTTTCGAAATTTTCAACGCAAGGAGAGGCATACCAGAAGGCTCTTTTTCTTTGCACTATCGGGCAGAGCGCCTTGGAAAATCAACGCATTTCAGTTCACTGCGAGCGAAGATTCAAACAAGGTCGTCACGGCAATCGTTAATCGTCAAGTTTCAAATTCAACCAACGACAAGAATACTTCACCGGTAACATGACCGACACATAAACGAGATGAAAGACGTACGAGCGCTTGAGGATGCTCGCAAACGTCTACTTCAGGAAAGAAAGCTCGACCTAAAGAAGTGTATCGATACCAACGCAATCAATGCAAGCTGGTGAAAACTCGATGCTTCATTGACCAAAGCCCTCAGAAACATGACCGACACAGGTAATTTCTGACAGGAGTAACTCCAACACGATGAAAGCACTTCTGATACGTCCTGCATAGTCCTTCAGAAAATGAATCACCTAAAGAGATTGGAGATTTGCGAGCGAAAAGACAAAGTTACAGCCATACTAAACCTTCCAAAATCTCCCTGAAAATGTGGAACAAAGTGAAGATGAAAGCGCTTGGAACCTGCAAGCTGCTAGTTGAAAACCCAAAAACACTGATGAAGTACATGGTAAAGTTTGCCGTTGTTGACAAACAGCTCACCCCCCTGCTTAGCCGCAAGGCTGCTGAAAAGATGAACCTCATCACAGTCAACTATGACCAGTTTGAGCATGTCAATGGAGTAGTAGATAGCACTGATATCTTAGATGAATTTCCTGACATTTTCAACGGGGACATTGGAACCCTGCCTGGCTCTGTGCGACTCACACTGAACTCTGATGTGGAACCGATACTTTGCCCGCCAAAACGACTGCCTATTGAGTTAAAAGAACCAGTGAAACTAGAACTTGACAGGCTAGACACTGCAAGAGTTCTCACTCCAGTGGATGAGCCCACTGACTGGGTAAATCAGATGGCAATTGCCACCAAGAAGAACGGAAGCCAACGCATCTGCATAGACCCACGTTCTTTGAACCTTGCGCTAGAGCGGGAACACTATCAATTACCAGTCCTTGATGACATCCTTCCTGACCTTGCCAAGGCCAAAATCTTCAGCAAAGTTGACCTTAGTCATGGATATTGGCACTGTACTTTGGAAGAAGACTCTAGCATGCTTACCATATTTTCAACCCCTTTTGGGAGGTATAGGTGGACACGCCTATCCTTTGGACTTTCCGTAAGCTCGGAAATATTCCAGAAACGTCTGGTCCAAGCTCTGGAAGGAATTGTGGGTGTTGCCTGCATAGCAGATGACATCTTGATTTATGGTATTGGTGACACTCTTGATGAAGCCAGGCAAGATCATGACAAGAATCTCTCGTTGCTATTGGAACGTTGCCGGCAGAAGTCCGTCAAGCTCAACAGGGACAAAGTGGTGCTGAGGGTACAACAGGTGGATTTCATGGGACATCTGCTGACTGCACAGGGCTTGAAACCTGACCCAAACAAAGTCGAAGCCATCTTGAAACTAGAAACGCCTGGGACCAAGGAAAAAATTGAGAGACTGAATGGCACTGTTAACTACCTTGCTAAATTCCTGCCAAGACTTTCCCAAGTCATGGATCCACTTAGGAGATTGACCCAGACAGGAGTCGAATGGTACTGGGGAAATGCTGAAGAGAAAGCTTTCGATGAGGTGAAGCAATTGTCACTCAAGCTCCAGTTCTTGCCTACTACAGCCCAGACAAGGAACTTGTCATACAGTGCGATGCCAGTAGCCTAGGGCTTGGTGTGGTCCTTATGCGAGAAGGTCGCCCCCTTGCTTATGCTAGTAGAGCTTTAACGGATCCAGAGACCCGCTATGCAACCATCTAAAAAGAAATGTTGGCAATTGTCTTTGCACTTGAGAAATGGCATCAGTATGTCTATGGGCGTCATGTTGTCATCAAAATAGACCACAAGCCTCTAGAGTCTATCGCCAAGAAACCACTTGATAGGGCACCAAAACGCCTACAAGGTATGCTCCTCAGAAGCCTGGCCTTCGACATAGACGTCCAGTACACCCCTGGCCATACCCAACTTCTGGCAGACATGATGAGCAGATCATTTCTCCCAGCTGATGGTCAATCAACCCCCAGTGAATTTGAGTCTGTCAATAAGGTCCAATTCCTACCCATGCGATAAGAGAGGGTACAGAAAGTCCAACTCGAGACTGCAAAGGATGAAACCCTGCAACTGCTTATGGACACCATACTGAAGGGATGGGCCGAGGATCGGTCAAAGATCTCACCTCAGCTGACCCCCTACTACAGGAGAAAGTTGCTGTGGAGCTCTTCACCCTAAACCAGAAATATTACTTGGTAACGGTCGATTACTATAGTGGTTATTGGGAGCTGGACCGGCTACATAACACAGATTCTGGAACTGTGGTCAGAAAACTCAAGGCCCACTTTGCAAGGCATGGGAGTCCGTGTCAACTTGTTAGTGACAATGGCCCCCAATTTGTAGCTGCAGAGTTCCAAAAGCTTACAAAAGAATGGGACATTGAGCACAGGGTCACCTCTCCTTACAATAGTAAGGCTAAGGTGGCAATGACTTCTACTTGGGACTACTGGCTGAGCGCAATATCCCATCTCAAGGAATCGGAAGTAGTCCAGTTCAGAGGCTTATGAATAGGAGGACAAGGACATTACTTCCCACAACTGGTTCTCTCCTGGAACCAAGAACCCTGAGCTCTAGTCACGAGAGAGAGAAGCTGAAAGATGTTCAAAAAAGGCAGGCTCGATACTACAATTCTGATGCCCATGACTTACCTGAATTGAATGAGGGAGACAATTTGAGGCTGAAACCGTTTGTACTGGGGCAAAAGGAATGGAAGAAGGGAGTGGTTGTTGAACGACTTGACGAAAGGTCATATGAAATTGAGACAGCAGATGGATCTTCCTATAGGCGCAACAGAGCCCATCTGAAGAAGACTAATTAGTCACGCCCTGAAGCAACCAGTGGTGAATCACAGCAAATACCAGACAGCAACATGTTAGGCCATGGAAGAAGGACCAGCAAATTGCCTCCTGAGGATACCCTTACTGAGCCACCACAAATGTCAAGCTGCCCTGACGAGCCAGATGAGCCCTCACTTCGCAAAGAATCAGGCACTAAAAGCCTACCATGTAGTGAACCCTACAAAGAGCTGGACTCAGGGATTAGAACCCAGTCAGGAAGACTGGTCACTAGACCTTCATACCTTAAGGACTTTGTAGCGTGACCAACCTACAAGCAACTTGTGGACATTGCCTGTTAGGCTTAACACCGAACCTTCTATTTGTTGTTCAAGATTGAACATTTATTACCAGTTGAGACACTTTCGCACATAGTGTCCATGTTCCAGTTTATTATTGTTTAAGGTTTCTCATGCATGTTCCAGTTTTTTCGTTTTTTTTTTGTTTGTCTACCCATTTTATATTGGGGAGGATGTGACATGTGGCGTGACGTATTACGTCAGTTACTGATTTCCCGTATGTAAGAGGAAGCGAGAGCACGTGCTCACCATTAAAAAATATGTAGCATGTTGTTGTGAACTCTGCGCACTTTTACTCTGTATTTTCGAGAGGACGTCTTGATACAATGTTATTCTGTAGAAATTTATACTGAAAAAGTTGAGGTCTTAACTCTTCGCTAGCTAGAACAATTTATAAAAAAGAGGCAAACAAATTTCCACTATCAAACCTTTACATTAATTTTCGCGCATTAATTTATCCCTTGCCGACGTGACATGCCTGTCACACGGGGAAAATAAGCTTCACCAGCTAACCGAAAAAACATAAGGACCATCTGAGTGGACAACATCACAAAATCTATGACATTAGAAGGTAGCAATGGAATGTCTCCCACTCGTGCACGTGTTTACCGACAACCACCGCTACAGAGCCTGACTGAGGGTAATGTTATACCGGCATGACATTTTGGTTTTGTAGTATTTTGCGCTCTTACGCGCTTTCAAGTAGGTTTCCAAAATTTTCGATTTGTTTCTCCATCGCCACCTCTAATTTCTTCATTTTGCTATATAACAAATTACCAGACGACTGTGCCTACTGTGAAGCGTTCTTTTACTAATCAAAAAACTTTCTGTAATAGGATAGTTAATAGATGTAACTCATTGGACAGTTTCCTTCAAATTATCAACCTCATAATGGTGTTTGTTAATTCTCAGAATGTTAAGCTCAAGCGTATGAAATACCATGATCCTATTCTTTGGGGGAATGTATTAAAAGGTTTGTACTCTTTACTTATATGAAGTCTCTAGTTTTCTATATTCAATATCAATTTACTTTGCTTAATTGCACTAAAAGTTGTCCTAGAAAAAAGCAAAATCCGAAAAGGAAAAAAGCCAGGAAGGAATTTGTTAGCACATAAAATGTCCCTTTGGCTTTATGCCCGTTAGCCGAAAAATTTAATATAATTTTCACCAAAGGGCACGTACAAGATGATGATTACGGATTTGAGTAATTCCAAAAGTGTTAAGTCAAAATCTCTATGCATATGTTGTAAACTGCATCCATTGGGACTGCTGTTACCAGTCTCAATTCACAAGAAACAACCGATTACTTCCTCTAAATTCATATTGTTGAGTCTTGCTTGTTTTGGTGATGATCACTAATTATTTCTATCGAATTAACGAGGGATCAAAGTGTTTTGAGTTTGTTTAAGTAAGCACGGACAACGATAGAAGCTGTGCAGTTTAATTGCAGTCTTCAATCTCACACTTTGACTTTGCCACTGTAATTCAAAATTTTGCACCAACGGAAATCAGTTTGGGCGTGGCTCGTGCTCTTTTGCGATCACGAACAGATACATTTTGATAAAACAAATAAGGAGGTTCACGTGATCTAACAGTGATGTTACAAGCCGTCAGTCTCGCAACCTTTTTAACCTTTAAAATCGACTTCAACAAAAATACAAAGACGGAGACATTTTTGTGTGGCTTACACAACGTGTGCAGCCACATTATGGCACGATCCGATCGATCCAACAAGAACAATATGTGCTGACTACAGTCAAGGAAATGAAGCACTTTTTGGTGAAAATACTGGTAAACAATGTGTAGCAATGTCACTTACTGCTATTATTTATAATCACATAGAAGATATCAATTTGTGGACTTCTTCCACTCTGAATAATATTCTTACCATTGGAAATGATTTTTATACTTCTATAAGATGTTCTGTCCAGACAAATGATTATTTGCTTTTAACTGATGTTCCATGCATTGTTTCAATTTACAATAAAGTATACACATTAGAATATAGTGAGTCATTGACAGGAAGTTTGTTCAAGGCATCAAATAATGGGCCATACATGTCTCTTCAAAATTCTCTGACAAGTGTTTTCAAATTGTCAACTTAACTACAATTGTTGTTTTTTAACGATTGGAATTAATACTGTTGCAGTGATTAACAATTCAGAACAAAGCTTTAAAATTTTTGATGCTCATTCCAGGGATTTGTATGGGATGCCCCACTCATTTGGGAAATGTACTTTGCTTACCATTGAAGGAATTGAAAACCTTGTGTCATATTTGAAAATTTCCTGCTTACAAATAGGGGTTGTTCCTTTTGAAATTAAAGGTGTCTTTGTCAGAGATAATGAACTTGATTTGCAAAATGTTCACGAGAGTCCAAAAATTGAACATTTGCCTTTCAGAAATAAAAGAAACCAAACACAACATATGAAAAGGAAGCAAAAGTCTCTAACTGAAATGCCAGAAGAAAAAGAAAAATGATTGTTTGCTAGACACGCCACACACGCCGGCTTTCCTACAGTCGGCTTGTCTTCTAAGTGGATTACAGCGTGGAGTTGTGCTCTCACAGGCCAACATTTCACGGTCTGGACCTTTAGTGCAGGTTGTGCCACATTGAAACTTGGGAGTCATTATTGACTCTCTATGCGGTCACATTTCACGTAAGTCATTTACTGGAATGTTTTTTATCCTGAATTTCTGTTTATGCCACATGCTCAGTGAGAAAATTACTCAACCAGTCTTTTTAGTAAATGCTAAGATAAAATTTTGGTTAAACTGCAGAATACCCTGCCACCCCATGGCATTACATGTCATTGAATACAAATAGAATAAACAATTTTTAGCCAGTGAGTGAAAATAGGACTTTTTTGTTGCCATTAGAAAATCAGACACTGCTGTTGTCTGGCAATTCGATTTGACGGCCCCTTTAAATGAAATTATACTTTCATGTTTACATAGCTAAACCAATAAAAGTCACAAACGTCTAACGCCTAACCTGAAACTGCAGTTTGTCATTAACATGGTGCTAAATGTCTATTGTGATTGATTCCAAACTTTGGGGAGTAATCTATTGGAATTCAGTAACAAAGTGGTTTCGCTTTTATTAAAATATGAATAGGAGCCTAGTGCTTTAATGTTAACTGAAATGTGATTAGTGTTATGTTTTCCAAGTTATGGCCAGAATTATTCAGACCTTAACATTTCATGACTTCCTTCAAGCTTGGCAGTCTTCTAGATTCTCTTCATAATGGTTCAGATAAGCATTGGTATCTATACTTGGTAGCAATACATGTGTATTAGGCCTTTATTTGGTAGACTACACCTCCTTTTCAGTTTTTTGTTTGGTTTGGTGAATTCATCACAATACTGATATACATGAAAAATTACACTTTTTTGATTAGCTGAAAATAGCTAGGTGCCTTTTTCATTTATCATCAGTGAAAAAGTAATAACTCATGTACAAAATAATATAAACTAGGCTCAGCAATAATAGATCACATGAGAAACCAATCAGATTTACCCAAAGTAGGTTGTTCTGATTGATACATGCTGTAGCTGACAAAAATAAACAAAAGCTTGGATACTTTTATGTATATTGATAAACACTAACAAAATTGCGTTCCTGAGCAAGAATTCAGCTGAAGGACAAATTTTGATGGCACACACTTCATTTAGTCAATACTGTCAAATTTATCTGCCATCAGTTTGTTGATTTCCTGTGAATGTGTATCTTTCACGTATACATTATGAATAATTAATAACATGATTTCTCATATGATAAGCACTTTTAAATTTTTCAAATACTTTAAACTGCACACATGCTATGAGCTCAACATTTGTTGTTTGTGAAAAATTTACTTCTGCTTATTTAGAATACCAAAGTACACTTTAATTAACTTACATGTAGCTTAGACTTTGTTGAGTTTTTATGAAGACAGTTCAATGGAACTGACATTTGTTACGTTTATAGTTAAAAGTTAGCCATCAGGTATCCTCGGAGACCCAGGGTTCTTATCACATCTGTAGACCCCTTAAAAGCACAGTCTTAACAGATCAGTTCCAAACTGTCACAGTCATTCTGAATTTTGATTGGTACCAGAAATTCAATCTTGTTCTAGCAAATGAGAGTGAAGCAGGTCTCACACGTCCTCTTGTGTGCTCTAACACAAAGTGATACATGAAGTTCAGTTTGTTTTGTTCAGTTTTTTATGTTTGTTTCGGACCTTTTTGTACGGTAGATTAGCACTTTGCATGATGATGTGAAGTTGACCATTTGCATGATGATGTCAAGTTCACCTATTCATTTTTCCCCATAACTTGAATTTGGTAGACTCACTGGCATGAAATTACAATTTCAATAATAAGAAAACTTGAAAGCTTCTGGTAGTTTAAATCATATGATACCATCATGCACTTGCCTGTACATTGCTCTGCTGTGTTTAAGTTATGTCTCTGATTACTGTTCCTGAAATCTATTATGGTGACACTATCTCTATTGAACTTTCTGTTAAATAAAACCTCCAGGTATTGGGTTAAAAATTATTAGCAACGTTAATGTAATGTTACTTCAGAGTACTTAACTCAACATATGATACATTAAAATATTGCTTGTGTTCTGATCTTGTAATGCACCTATCTTTTTTCCCTAGACTCTTCCATTTGCAACCTCATATCTACCTACCTCA